GCTTGCAATGCAGGAGACCAGGGTTCAATCCCTGGATCAGGAAGATCCCCTGGAGAAGGAAACGGCAACCCACTCTAGTATTCTTGCCTGGGAAATCCCATGGACAGAGGAGCCTGGTGGGCTACAGTCCATGGAGTTGCAAAGAGTTGGACACGACTGAGACTCAGCATACACACACACACACACACACATGATTCTGGTGGAGGCCCAGGTATGTCTTCAGAAGGAATGTAGTAGGTGGGCCTTAAATAGGAAGGCGACTCCTCCACTCTCCGAGATTCAGCCTCAGGGTTTCCACTCTGAGTAGCCGAGACTTTTGGATCTGTGTTCCATGGAAGTCCTTGCTGAGATCCCCCCTCCCCTCCCCTTCAAGGGAGGAGCGTGGGAGACAGAACAGGACCGGGCCTGAGAGCCTGAGAAGGAACTTTGCCTACAACCAGTTTATCTAGTTTCATGTTTCTCTTGCTGTTTTATGGTTTCCTTCCTTTAGCTCAGTGGAGCATTTCAGCTTTGTCTTAGCTATGCAAAAGGACATCAAAGGAAGCAGGACACACCCCAGGGCTCGAGGTCCAAAGGCCAGCTGGGTGGCAGCATCCGCAAGTAAGAGACCTTAAGAGGAAATTGGCAGTCAGAGGATCAGAGCCTGACTTTGTGGACTTGCTGTCCTTTTTTAAAAAAAAAACAAAACTTTTTGGCCACACCCCTCCACCTGTGGGATCTTAGTTCATTGGCCAGGAGTCGAAAATACACAGTCTGCATTGAAAGGCAAAGTTTTAACCACGGGAACGTGAGGGAAGTCCGCTATCCGTTTTTAATTTGGAGATTTTCTTTCCAGTGATAAGCTTGGAGGGTTTTCTTTTCATTTTAAAAAGTGGGATGTTTCTTTCATCTGGTGGTCTGATGCAGCTGATCCCTATTCCCTTGAACAATTTTCTATGTTAATGATTTCTGCCTACCAGGCCAAACCAATGGCCAGTTAGATGGATGAAGATCAGCCTGCCACTGCCATTTATAGGAAAGCAAGGATCTACCTGGTGGCTTTATCCTGTGGCTCAGATGGTAAAGAATTTGCCTGTAATACAGGAGACTCGGGTTCGATTGTTGAGTTGGGAAGGTCCCCTGGAGAAGGGAATGGCAACCCATTCCAGTATTCTTGCCTGGAGAATTCCATGGACAGAGGAGACTGGTGGGCTACAGTCCATGTGGTTGCAAAAAGTCAGACATGACTTAGCGACTAACACTTTCACTTTTCAAGGGCCTACCACGGTCACTTTTGTTGAACCAATACAGATCAGCTATCTGGCTGGAGATGGTGTTATCAACAATCATCTACTGAATTTTCATACAAGTTTGTGCGAGGACAGTTAGTGTTGGTGTGGAAAGATTTCTTACCTAGACTTCACAAGGAAGGGAACACAGATTTGTCCTCAGAGACTACCAACCTGTTGGATGGCATATTTGGCCCAGACAGAGGAGAACAGATACTAGAATTCAGCCTTGTAGGGTCTAGATGGCAGGCCTTCTACGAGAAGAAGCTTCCTCAAGGGCTGCCCTGGTGGCTCAGTGGTAATGAGATTGCCTGCCAATGCAGGAGACATTGGTTCAATCCCTGGTCTGAGAAGATCCCACAGGCCTTGGAGCAACTAAACCCGTGCACCCCAACTATTGAGCCTGTGCTATAGCCTGTGCTATAGAGCTGGGGAGCTGCAAATACTTAGCCCACCTGCTGCAACTACTGAAGCCCATGCACCCTAGAGCCGTGCTCTGCAACAAGAGAAGCCCCCTCAATGAGAAGCGCACCACAAGCAGAGAGCAGCCCTCACTTGCCTCAACGAGAGAAAAAGACCTGTGCAGCAACAAAGACCCGGCACAGCCAAAGATAAATACATTTTTTAAATTATTAAAAAGAAAAGGAAAAAACTTCCTCAAGTGCACCACCCCATATGAAAAGCATGTCACACACCCCTTGGGTTAGATCATGACACAGGAATTTGATCACTTGGTCAAACGCCTTTCCCTATGTAAAGATGACAGCAGTTCTACCCAGAGTAACCCTGACTCTGACTTTGGTGATGTTTCTTTGGTTTGACTTTTTCTTTTTTCCTCTTTTTGGTTGGACTGAAGCACTGGAAAGTAAAAGATTATTAACTGCAAGCTTTTGTTATTCTGCTGTTTGGGTGGAGTGTTTGCATTTAAGGAGGCAAGAACTGATCGTTATTTGGGTTGATATACTTTTGTTATTTTTGCTTTGCCTACCGTGGGTTCGTGTGTTGGAGTGGAATGAGGGTGGGGAGTGCTGGAACATGAGCTGTTTTGGGGTTGGATTGTTAGTGGAAATGTTCCTACTGCTTAGCAGAGAAGGCATGTTAGGTAAAACCACTCTGTCCCTTTGACCCTGAAGTCTTAAGGTATTTAAATAGCCTTTCCATCAGTGTTCAGTGCTCACACATGCCTGGGAGACTGAGTCAACAATCTGTACAGTAGACATAATCCTGTAACAGATGTTCCTTGTAAGTGAGACTATAAAGCTTGGTTCTTTTTTTAAAAAATTATTTTATTGTGGTTGATTTACAATTTTGTGTTAGCTTCCAGTGTGCAGCAAACTGATTCAGTTATATGTATACATATATACTTACATATATATACACACATACACATACATACACACATACATATATATATATATATGCATGTGCTTAGTTGCTCAGTTGTGTCCAACACAATCTTTTTCATATTTTTTCCAATATAATTTA